GGTTGGTTGTTAAATTTTTCCAAGGATATTTTGGGTAGTTTCAAATTTCTAAAAAAGTCAAAGGTCATTTTGGAAAAGGTTATTTACTATTTGGGCCATTTTCATGTATATCCCCTCTAGATTTGAGTTCTTGAGCTGCGAATATTCGTGATTGTCCGAGTAGCACAATTTTAAACATTTGACTTGTCATAAATTTTTATGTTTCCGACAATACAGTGGATATTACTCAAATATTCTAGAAAGCTTAATTTATATTAAAGATTTTAAACTTTACTATAAATAAGTTAAATTGAATTTTCATTCCATGCAAGCTAAATCGATTTTAAAGAAAAAAAAATTTTGCTGTCCGCGGGTAAGCTAATGTAATTGCTTTGAGTTTAAAACAAAATTCCCATTATTTTGTCTAATTTCTATAAATCATATAAAGACGCATTTGTCTTTTTCAATCCTCATGCATGTCGACAGTTATTTAAGAGATTAGAAACAGAAAATATTCGAATAAAATTAATAAGATTCTATATATGAAATTATGTGAGAAAGAGAAGTTTCGTTAGTTCTGATTTATAGTTAATGTTTTGAACTAGTCATTAGAAAAAATAAATTAATTTAGATTTAATAATGAGATATTTACACTACTTTTGCTCGTATTTTTTGTGGGTTAAAACTAAAAACTAGTATTTTCACCATAAATCTCTATATAGATAACATTTAAAACCCATTTGTTCTTTACAAAAGATTTTGAATTCTATTCTTGTTGTAGAGTTTATAGAGATTGAGACTAACTTCAATCCTATAAACAAGGAACTTTTAAATTCAAAACACAGTTCCTATCCAAAACTAAGGAATTGGTAAGTTCTCCTTTTTTATCTCCAAGATATCAGTGTCCAATGTATCTGCAGGATTATTGGAGAATTTTGGATTTACAAATAATATTATTTTATTAAAAATGTGTATTTAAAAAGAAGAAGGAAAAAAAATCATTAAAATTTTAATAGAGCCCAAACATGACCTAAATCTGCATTTTTATTATTGAATTCTAAATAATTGAACCAATAATCAAAAGAAATTGAAATAAAATAAAAATAAAACTCAAACTGAGGAGACAAAACCTAGAGAAATATTCCAAGTGGAAGTGCCGGCACAGTGCAACCTAGGAACTTAGCTGTGCGTCGCGTGAGGCATCTTTTTATCAACTTGTCATTTTTGCCACAGCCAAATTTTCCTGCTTGCACTCTTGCATGGACATGCAAGCCCTTTTTTGTCATTTCATATCCAATCGTATGCAAACATACATCAATTAAATAATAAAAAATTATGTACCTCATTAATTTCTTAATAACTACAAATTAAAGGAAATAATAATTTTCATTATTTATTCCATTGATGCAGAATATGTTAAAAGATCTTGTCGACCCTACAATGAAACTACATAAAAATGACCAATGGCAAACAAACTTTCGAACGAATATTGATACAAAAAATATGTTAAAACAATAATTGACTCTTAATAGATAGAAAAAAATCGATAAAAAGTATGTGAAAAGATCACGTCGGCCCTCAAATAATAAACCAACAAATATCGATATAGAATATATTAAAAAATCACGTCGACTCTCAATAATAAATTGATGAACATTGATACATAATATGTTGAAAGATCGCTCAGCTCTAAATAAGCAAACAAATATTGATACCGAATATGTTAAAAGATCGTGTCGGCCCTTGATACAATTTTTTCATAAGACATGAATGTCATATTTGTTACCTAATATTCGATCGAATTTTTCAATTTTAATTAATATATTTTTCATCCATTGCATTCACTAACCTTCTAATTTTTCATCCTTTCAATCTATGCCCATAAAATGGAAATCTAGACAGAGGGTATGACGTGTGATAACCAATCACATTTCGACGAGTGGAAGGCTACTCGGTCTGTGAAAGTTTGTCATTGCTCAGAGCTGTATATTAGGAAGAGGAGGTTTCTACATTGCCATACACACAGAGACAGAGAAACAGGCAGTTTTAGAGAGAGAGAGCGCTTCACAAAGAAGTGCTTTCCCGGTGATTTCTACAGCCCAATCTGACTCTCAGGTGCCATACTACCATTTCTTTCCTCTATTCTTCAGCATTTTCAAGATGAATATGAATATAATTAATGCTTATTGAGCTGCATTATTGTAAATTGGATGGATCTGTGAAATTTTTGTTCTATTTTTGATGAAAATTTATGGATTTTTGACATTTGAGCAATTGGGTACATTTTCTCTGGTAATGCTTTGAATTCTATGCGTTTGAATATGAAAGTGCATTTTACCTTTTGTCTGCATTTAAATTTAAGTGGCAAATCTATGATGAAACTACTTTTTCTGTGTGAAAATAAAATAATCGAGAAAGAAATAAGGGAGAAATTGATTGCCGTATCACTTTTTTGTATTTGAATGTGATTTATAATGATTTTGAATTTGATTTGTTTAGATTTTCATGTGTTCCGTTTGGGTCTTGTAGGAACTGTTCTATTATTTTAACCAGAAATTATGGGTTCTTGCTTTTGTTGACCAAATTACAATCTTTGCCTTTTGACGTTTCTCCTAAATGTTTGGTCATAATACTTTTCCTTTACTGCGGGTTTGTTTATTTTCAAATGAATTGTCCATTTCCGCTTTAGCTTATTTTTCTGAACTCAGATTACTTTTTATTATTAATTTTAGTATTTCAAATCCCTATCATCATCTGGAATAGTTTGGCAAGGTTTGTACTATGCTACCATCTACAGTAGTTCTTGTGACTTTAAATTTCATCAGAATTATATAACATGTAAAATGTGTTGTTTCCTATTTGGTCAAGGCCAGAGACGAAGTATTCTAACCAGAAGGATAGACGTTACTAATATTAGTTATTTGCCTCTTTTATATGAATTCTGGTTACTCTTAAATTGTCCAACTATTAGCTAATTGGTTAGATTTTATTCATTCGTCGTAATACTCAAATTCATTGATAGGTAAAGCTTTGTCCTTGCTTCCTCATTTGGCGATTCTGATGGACTTTGTTATTGTAGACCTTATTGTATTTGATCGAACAATAGGAAGGAAATTGAATCTTGCCTTCATGGACCTTAGGATTTATTAATTATCTGCTACTATTTTTTTTCCAAGAAAAAGGCACTTGATATTTTGCTTTTAATTTCCTTCAATATAATTTGTTCCTATTTATTTCCTTTACGACCGGGGAGTTGGTTACCTAGCAAGTAGGTAAGTTATCTTTGCCCCGTTCATTTAAAAGCAAACTTAACTACGTAAGTTGTCTTTGTGATTGAAGGGAGACGCAAGTGCAGTCTGGTGCATTATTCGATAATTCGGTAGCCAACCAATCAGAAAGCCTCGATATTTAATTATCTTCGGTTTACGAAGTTTATACGTATTCCAGTTACTTGTATATCTTGGTTGCTATCTCTTCTTTTTGGTAGTTAAGCCCTTTCTATCGTTTGATATCATAGATTCATGACTGCATATGATGCACATGTTAAACGCTGCATTTTCTATTTAATGGAATAGGAAAAGTTTCTAGTTTACATTTGCCTAACCAGAGTTTGGTTTCAGATGTGAATATTGTCATTCACTCTCTATATAAATTGTGTTCTTCTATTTCTGAATGAATATCTTTTCTTCGCTATCGACTCACCTAAATTTTTGGTTTTCCAGGTTGTGTGAAACAAGTCCTTGAACGAGAATGGGAGCAGGAGGCCGTATGACTGTTCCGGCTACCAAAGGTGAAGAAAAGAAGAACCCTCTTAAAAGGGTTCCTTACTCAAAGCCTCCATTCACGGTTGGTGACATCAAGAAGGCCATCCCACCCCACTGCTTTAAGAGATCTCTCTTGCGCTCATTCTCCTATGTTGTATATGACCTATTTCTCATTTCCCTATTTTATTACATTGCTACATCGTACTTTCATCTACTTCCATCCCCCTTCAGCTACCTTGCTTGGCCTGTTTACTGGATCCTTCAAGGCTGCGTTTGCACTGGAGTCTGGGTCATTGCCCATGAATGCGGTCACCATGCATTCAGTGATTACCAGTGGGTCGATGACACAGTCGGTCTTATCCTCCACTCTACCCTCCTAGTACCCTATTTTTCTTGGAAATATAGTCATCGACGACACCATTCCAACACAGGTTCCCTTGATCGTGATGAAGTCTTTGTCCCGAAGCCTAAATCCGAACTCTCGTTTTTCTCCAAATACTTGAACAATCCACCAGGCCGAGTCATGACACTTGTTATCACACTTACACTCGGCTGGCCTCTATACTTGGCCTTTAACGTTTCGGGCCGGCCTTATGATCGTTTCGCCTGCCACTATGATCCGTACGGCCCAATTTATAATGACCGTGAACGACTTCAAATCTACATTTCTGATGTGGGTGTCATCACCACAACATACATCCTTTACCACTTTGCTTTGGCCCAAGGATTTGTCTGGCTTACATGTGTCTACGGAGCGCCGTTACTCATTGTGAATGGCTTCCTTGTCCTGATTACATACCTGCAGCACACACACCCTTCATTGCCACATTATGATTCTTTGGAGTGGGATTGGCTGAGGGGCGCTTTGTCAACTGTTGATCGAGATTACGGCGTTCTGAATAAGGTTTTCCACAACATTACAAATGCGCATGTGGCTCATCACCTCTTCTCAACCATGCCGCACTATCATGCAATGGAGGCAACTAAAGCAATTAAGCCACTATTAGGTGAGTACTATCAGTTTGATGGAACTCCGTTTTACAAGGCTATGTGGAGAGAGGCGAAGGAGTGTCTTTATGTCGAGCCAGACGAGCCAAACAAGGGTGTTTTCTGGTATAAAAACAAGTTTTGAAGACAATAAAAATATGGTTAGTGCTATGTATTTGTGTTAGTGAAATTGTGTCTTTCTTATGTTGTATGGAGTGAAGAAAATCAGATTTCTTTTCCTCTGACAAAATGTGTCCTCAAGTTAGTGTATCTCCACAGAAGAACTGTTATGTCCTGGTGTGCTTGTGAGGAATGTTAACTTGTGGACACGTGATTTTGAATTGCTTTTAAACTTTGGATTAATGGAAGATAAGTGATTAGCCCTTTTTGAATTGAATTTTCATGAGAAATTGATTGAAACGATAAAGGACGAAGACAAGTTGAAAAAAGGAAAAACACCAATTTATAGCAAGGAAGACCAATTGCACTTATTATCGTGAAAATCTAGATTTCTATCATCAGCAATAAAATTTATATCACTGTAGAGAGATTCGACCGTAATATGATTATTTACAGACCGTTTCTCGTATCATTGAAGTTGACAAATAAATTTAATAAACTTACACAGCTATTAACATCTTTAGTGTTTTTCTTCTGGAGCAGTACCATTCGAGTTTATTGTGTTTATCTCAAAATCCTCTGCCTCGTAAACTTCGACATCTATCCTGGCTTTATGTGCCTAAATACTTCATTTGTAAAATTTTTTGCTGACCACTGGCTGCGGGGAGAAACGACCAGCAGGATTACATGCGTTCCCATGCAGACCTCCTTTTTGAATTAGTTGAAGAGAGAGAAGGGATTGTGATGGAAGGAAAATACGGTGATTCAACTTCCCGCGATTAGACTAATCCTTGTAGTATGACCTTGAATCTCTTGGCATCCCGTGAATCTCTCTTCCATCGAGCTCCACACGACTTTTTGTCTTTGATTCTCAATCTTTCTTCTTTCATCTATTAAGATCTTACCTTCAATCCCACCTTTAAGGTTGTAACTGTTGCTCTGATTCTACCATAAGTGTACGATATCGAACAAATAATATAGCCCTTGTTTGAGTCACATTATTTTTCTTAGAATAAATTTTTGAATAGTATATTGATGAAAAATATGTGATTAAAAAATAAAGAAAAGTTTTGAATTTGCGTGTAATATTATTTCATTAAAGAATGTGTGGTTGGAATGATGTCAAATCACTGTTTACGAAATTTTTTTTCCTTTTAAATGTGGCTCAAACAAGGGCATAATGATTTTATGGGTCCGAATTGTCATTCCCACGAGATCTATACTTTAAAACTTGATCTACCTTCTCTAACTATTATTCAAAAAAAAAAAAAAAGGATTTGCATGCTTTGAGTTTTAATTTAAATACATAACAATATGTGGATGCACACAAAGATTGATTTAGAGATTAAATAACGAACAAATATCAGAGCAGAAAAACGCATCTATTGATCACCTTTACAGATTCAAATCTAATGTAGTGTTCGATCGAAATCTTCTATTGTATTCAATTTACTCTTCTCGAGTTCTCATTGAATCTATTTAATTAATTCAATTACATATCTTGATGCGAATCAAGTTTAGTTAAACGAAATCTTTTTGCTAGGAATTCATTCATGACCGCAATAATCAGTATAGGTATCTCTATACACTATACCAATTTACTGAACTTGATTATAAGGTCTAAATCCTAAACTCGCCTCTCGATTCGTAAAATCATCACAAAATCATCAAATTAGCGATCAAGTAATTAAATGTATTACACTCATAATAAAACCAACACAAACAAATAAAGAACAAAAATATTAAATAACATATGTAAAGGGTCCCAAGTAGATTACATTATTGCCCTAACAAGAATTTTAGTTATTCATAATAGAGGAAGAAAACAAATAACAATAGTAGAGTTCATCACCGGGTTTTGAAATTAGATGTAGAGGAGTAGATGAATCTTGCACCAAGTTCTTTTTCTTGTTTCATATCTTGATTTCAAACCCATGAATTTTTGTTTTTCTCCTCTTGAATTTGCTATCTAATTCTTAAGTTGCATTCTCCTCCTTTCAATGTGTGTAATCCCCCCAAAAGTGTGAATATATATATATATATATATATATATATATATATATATATATA